CTTGATGACCTATTGTCAGGCATGTTTGTGCTTCATTTTAGTTGCTTCAATTTATTTGAGGGTCACACAAAATGTTTTGTTCTTTCATGGCATTTTATGTCATTAATTACAAACAAGTGCTAAAGTCTGTACAGAATGCTATGTTCGTTCTTATTTGCTCTTTTATATGTTGATATTATTATTATTAATAGTTTTAATGATTTCTACATCGTCAGTCCTTTTTTCCTGCTCTGTCACCAACATGTACAGTAATAGGAAATCCAGACTCGACCGTTTTGTGTTAGCCGTTAGCTTCACCAGCCGATCACATGGTCACATGGTGTCCAAGCACTCCAGTCCTTGTTTAACCGTGTGAATCAGCTGTGGTGATGTACAACTTATAAAAGTAAGGAAAGCAGATTAAATCACGGTTCCTGTAGATTTTCATCTGTTGGTACCTGCTCCACTTCTCCGTGTGCTCATGTCGGCCACATAACCCCACTGATCAGAAACCGGGTCGTATTCTTCCACCGTGCTGAGACACTGGCGAGACGCGCCGTCATAGCCCCCGACTGCATACAACTTACCTGCGCACACACAAACCAAACAACTAGCTAAGCGTTTGTATGTTTTTTTTTTTTTGGTTTGAAAAGTCACTCGGGTAACTGGAGGCCTTACCGTCGACCACCCCGACGCCCACACTGCTGCGTCTGGTGTTCATGGAGGCGATGTACAGCCACTCGTTGGTTTTACAGCTGTAAACCTCAACGGTCGACAAACCTGGAACAAAAATCAGACGGAGGAGGACAGAAACTGAAATGTCAGGTTGTAACAGTACAAAATCAGAGCGTCAGAGCAGCTCCAACCTGCTGCGGGATGAACCCTGACAGCAAGCACACATCAAACACATCAAACTGCTTTATTCTTTCTGCTCATTACATCAGCCTCCTAATACAGCTCTGGAAATAAATATATAAGAAAACTGCAGTTTCCCTGTATTTGGTGGAAATCAGTCCAGCAAATATTGGTTTATGAACTCTTTCTGAATTAAAACATTATTATTGTTG